CCACCTGTGCTTCTGCCTGGAGGCTAATTATAATTTTTAGTCTACGTGGCCTCAAGGCGAGGTATTTTCTAGTAGGGTGTGTCAACTGCCTTTCCTCCATACAAGGCAAATGTCTGTGTGGGAAAGATGTCCTCTGCTGTGTGAGGGAATGAAACAGGGGATGTCTGCCCAGGAATCTGGGGATGTCTGTCTTCTGATCTCTACCCTCCAAGGTCCCAATCCTGGCTTCTGCTCACACAGCTCCAGTCTGCTCCATTTACTAGATGGCTCTAAATTGCTGTTTAACCATCTCAGTTTCACTGATCCCCTTGTCCTGGCTTACTGGCCTGTGTCATTTATACAATTTCCCTTCAACATTTCTCATCACAAAATCCCACAGCTTTCACAGACTTTCTACCACTTTCACAAATCTTTCTTCAGATACCTTACAACTCAGAATTAACCAGCTTTAGATTCCACTTTCTTTTTCCTTCAAAATGCATCTCCGTGCCTCATGCCTTCCATTACACCAAAGCCATACTTTCTTTCCAATTAGTTAGAATTCTTCATCCTTAAAAATCTTAATTTTTAGGTAGCATGTAAGTAATTAACATTCCTCAGATGAGCAATACATTCGTATTTTAAGAGTTGCTTCAAATAAAATTCAAGACTTATTAACAGATTCAAATTTATCCTTTAGATTCTCCATATGAGGCAAATTCAGATTAATATTTCAGTATCATGTTATTTCAAAATGCCTAGATATTTAATAATTTACTATTTAATCCAGCAAACTTCAAAGTTTTAAGTTACCAAAGACTTTGGAAAACTGTTTAGGCATATATATAATTACCCAGGATAAAGCTTTATCATATACCCTTCATTTTAGTTGTATTTACTTTGCCTTAACAACGTAGTGAGATTTTAAAGCCAATTATTACCCAAGGAATTTTCTTGGGAAATTTTGTAACAGGGATAACTCACTGGCCTTTAGTGGCTATAATGTATTTTTTTCTATTTACAAAAGTGGGAGTGGCCCTCCACTGCTATTTCTGCAGCCTGCTGGAAGGCACTTCTATGGGTCTAATTCTCCTGTGAAAAAGACTTGAGGGTTTAAATAATTAGTTCCGATATTTTTTCTTTCTGAGTAGTCTAACAACATGAAATCTTACCTGTAAGAAGAGATACTGTCCTAGCCGGTTTGGCTCATTGAATGGAGTGTCGGCCTGTGGACCAAAGAGTCCCAGGTTTGATTCCAATCAAGGGCACATGCCTGAGTTGTGGGCACAGTCCAACGTGCAGGAGGCAGCCAACCAACGATTCCCTCTTGTCAATGATGTTTCTATCTCTCTCTCCTTTCCTCTCTGAAATAAATAAAAAGGTATTTTTAAAAAAGAAGAAGAAGAGATGTTAAGAACAGAAACAGAAAAATCCCTACAGTAAATAAATGGGTACTCATAAAACATTGGACTGGGACATTAGCCTTAGAATCTTATCTCACACTGACCCATCACAGCAAATGGGTTCTGAGTGGCACAAAGGCCAAACAGTAGAGACAGCGGATTCCCTGTGTTCATAAAACAGCAAAGTCCCCCAAAGATAAGAAAACAAGCAAAGAACCTCAATAACCAAGTTACATTAGAGCAGTGGTTCTCAACCTTCCTAATGCTGCGACCCTTTAATACAGTTCCTCATGTTGTGGTGACCCCCAATTTCAATGTTACAAATTGAACATAATTAAAGCATAGTGATTAATCACAAAAACAATATGTAATTATATATGTGTTTTCCGATGGTCTTAGGTGACCCCTGTGAAAGGGTCGTTTGACCCCCAAAGGGGTCGCGACCCAAAGGTTGAGAACCGCTGCATTAGAGACAGAGAAGAACATTCACTAGATGATGACTTTCTTTTTTTAAAAATATATTTTACTGATTTTTTACAGAAAGGAAGGGAGAGGGATAGATAGTTAGAAACATCGATGAGAGAGAAACATCGATCAGCTGCCTCCTGCATACCTCCTACTGAGGATGTGCCCACAACCAAGGTACATGCCCTTGACCGGAATCGAACCTGGGACCCTTCAGTCCACAGGCTGATGCTCTATCCACTGAGCCAAACCGGTTAGAGCACTAGATAATGACTTTCACTGGATAATGGCTGATGACTTGAGAGGGAGAGCAGGAAAGGGGTCCCCAAGATAAGAATTCTTGGCCCCTGCTGGAAAGTTCCTGCAATTTCTGCCACATGTTCAGCCTAACACAGGTAGCTGGGGCCTCTAGCAAAGTGAAATATGCCCTATCCTTAAACAAATTAAACCAAACTACAAAGACATAAAACAACAATTAACAGAGACACTCTATGGACAATTTTTACAGGCGCACATAACCCACAGACAAGACTTAATGAACCAGAGTCCTTTTCATGGATCTTTCCGATGTGTTACAGTGCCCGGGGCTTACAGCCAGAATGTGGTCCAGAGGACTCCCAGGTAGGGTTGCCAATAAACACCCACAAACAGCCTGTTGTTCACACATCTCATCATATTTTGCTCTCAAAATTAAATATTGATTGGAGTCCAGAGTTCTTTTAGCCAAAATCTGCCAGTCCCAAAGCATCTTATGGTAATTTTCAGACAAGGCATGGAGTCCTTTTGTAAATGGCCCATTTTCTCTCATAGTTTTCCTTATTTCTTTAAAGGTATTAAAGGAGAGGGGTTCATGTATCCAATTACCTTGCATCTTGCATAAAGGGGCAAGTCAAAAACCTCTCCTAACATAGCTTGCCTGACACATGATCCCATAACTGAGGATTTAATTGATGAGCCTTCCCACACTGGAGGCGGAGGATCAGGGCCTTCCGTATTGCTGGCTTTACAGGCTCTACTGCAGGAGGAGGGGGCGGTGATAAATCCTGCTGGTCTTCTGTAGGCTTTTGATTCTCAATAGGAAGTAGGCATAGGGCAGCTTCAACAAGAACCCACATAATTAACGTGACAAAGGCACTTGTTTTCCCTGGGCCTGATTTCTCTTTCAATTCCTACCTTCTTGTTCCTATAGATCAAGGTCTAATGTTCTAGCATCAGGGAAGCAAGGGTTATAATAGTCTCCAAAAGGTCCTTTAAGTGTTTCCTTGTAACCAAGGCACCATTTGCTTTTCACAACTGTTTAACCACTGTTGTATTTTGTTGCCATTTGTGGTGCAAACAGTGGGGCCATCAGCCCTGCTCCCACCCACATTGGCCTGGTGCTGCCCGCTCACTGGCACCGCCCCCTACCGTATTGGCCTGTCTCCATCTCTGGGGTGACAGGAGGAGTTTTCGGGGACCCCACTCGCATCCACCTTGGCCTGGCACCTACCGCTCATCTACTGCACAATCCCGTAGCAGTCCCAGTCTGATCAGGGCCCACCGGGGCCAGCACTGCCTCCACTGCCGCCCACTACTAGCACCACATCGTGGAAGCCTGCCATGTTTTGTGCCACCCCCTGTTGGTCAGTGCACATCATAACGAGCCGTGGAAATCCCGGTTGGTCAAACTCCCAGTGATAATTTCCATATTAGCCTTTTATTATACAGGATACTACCTTTACTTTATTGTGCATTCTTGCTTCCTTTTTCTACTATTCTCTGACCATAAAGGCATGGGTTTATATCTAGGCTCTCTGTTCTGTTCCACTGATTTATATGCTGTTTTTAGGGCAGGACCATGCTGTTTTGATTACTATTGCCTTGTAGTACGGTTAGATATTAGGTAGTGTGATTCATCCACATTTGTGCATCTTTCTCAAGATTGCTGTTGCTATTCAGGGTGTTTTGTGGTCTCTATAAAATTTTTGAATATTTGTTCGAGTTATGTGAGATCTATCTTGGGTATATTGATAGGAATTGCATTGAAGCTATAGATTGCTTTGGGTAGTATGGACATTTTAATTATATTAATTTTTCCTCTCCATAAACACCATATATGCTTCTATTTATATTTTACATTCCAAGTGCAGTTTACCTTTAATTTTATTTTGTAGTAGTTTTAGGTGAAACTAATTTCAACATGAAAATATTGCAGATATCCATAAAGGCCCATGTACATGCCAAGTCTTAAATTGTTCCTCAAGGGCCAGGCCCTGGTTATAGTGTCACAATTCTGCCAGAAAGACTTCTTTTGAGTATGATCTTAGGATTTTAATACACGTGTTTATGTGTCCGAAAAACCAGTGTGAAGTAACCCTGAGGCTCATGAGTAGAGGACTTTTGTGGAGGGCTAAGTTGCCCTATCTTGCTCATGCCTGACCTCTAACTGAACATCCTATCTCTATTAAATGAGAGAAGGTCAAACTGAGTTACTAACAAATAATATAAAAAGAAATGATTGTTCATACTCCTCTACAAGAATATTTTCATTCATTCAGGTGTATCTGACTATTTCTGATAATTTAGAGTACTTCAGGAAATATGACCAAGTACATTTTGTTCTAATTTGAATTTCCACACACCGCCTGGCCTCTCCTGTTTGGTGATGAGAATAGAAGAGAAAGCTACCAGGCCTTTATTGTATTCAAAGTCACTAAAACTTTATGCAGATATGACAGTATGTTTCATGGACAGCTGCATCAAAAGGTGGTTATAATGGAGATGAGTTTTCTCACAAGGAATCGATGGGCTTAAAACAGAAGTATTTTAACTTATTAATATAAAAGTTGTTCAAGGTGTTTTTTACCCTGACATTAGAGATCAATGAAGAGTTGAAGTGATCAAAGTAAAATCATATCAATAAATCCCACATGTTCTTGAGGAAATGAATTTGGCCAATTAATAATAGTCTTACAATCAAGTGATACACTAAATGTTGGTGACCACGTGTTCTATGTGAACTTTCTATGAATTATTTGTAGGTCCCCAGTGTTGTCTGTCTCACCCATTCTCTTATATGTATATGTGGAATGTTTTAGGACTCAGTGGCCTTTGAGGATGTTAACGTGGAGTTCACCATGGAGGAGTGGGATTTCCTGGATCCCACCCAGAAGAAACTCTACACAGATGTGATGCTGGAAACCTTCTGGAACCTGGCATCAGTAGGTAGTTATCATAAATTCTTTTTTTTTTTAGTATATTTTTACGGATTTTAGAGAGGAAGGAGAGGGAGAGGATGACAGCAAAGTCAATGATTAGAGAGAATCACTGACTGGGTACCTGGTGCGAGCATCACACTGGGGATCTAGCCTGCAAACCAGTCCTACTTTAAATTGAGCTGTGACCTTCCGGTTCATACCAGTTCATATGTTGATGGTCAACCACAGAGCAACTATGGCCTTTAACAACTTGGTACTTAGGCAATTAGAAAACTAGTGTTGCTTGCTCATTAATCCTGTTTCAAGAAGTGAAATATGGAAAGGGAGTACATTGGTAATTAAACCAGGAATGATCACAGTTCATTGTATACCTAAAATCTAACCTTTTTTTATATTCTTTAATAGTTTATAATGCTTTTTCTAGCATGTATTTTAGAAGAACAATGTGATGACCATGACAGTGAAGATCAGTATGAAAATCATTGGATGCATCTTAGGTGAGTCGCATTGACCTATAAGTAATTCATAAAATTATTTATGACAAAGCGTTAAGAGCATCTTAGTGTTTTTTTAACATAGGTTTTTATATATTTTATTTATTTATACATTTAATATTCTTAACATTTATTTCAGAGTAAGGAAGAGGGAGAAAGAGAAAGAAATATCAATGATGAGAGAGAATTATTGGTGGCTGCCTCCTGCATGCCCCACATTCGGAATCATGTCCAGAACCTGGGAATGTGCTCTGACCAGAAATTGGTTTAGAGGTCAGTGATCAACCACTGAGCCTCGCTGGTGATGCAAAAAATATGTTTTTATTGATTTTAGAGTATGGAGGTGAGAGTGAGAAATAGAAAAATCAATAGACTGCCTCCTGCATGCCCTGTACTGGGTTTAATAAATATATAATCTGGCCATGCTCCCTTTCAGGGAATTGAACCGTAAGCCCCTGGTGCGTGGGTCCATCCTGAACCACTGAGCCATATGGGCCCAGTCCACAAAAGAATCTTAAAAACAGATAATCCAATGGTATTAGCCCAGTTTTAAATATACTGATTTTCAGAATAATCTCATCAAAATGTTTTTTTCAGAAATATGACCTACATGGGTAGTGTATAAAAAATAATTACATGCCCTAACCGGTTTGGCTCAGTGGATAGAATGTCAGCCTGCGGACTCAAGGGTCTCAGGTTCGATTCCGGCCAAGGGCATGTACCTTGGTTGCAAGCACATCCCCAGTAGGGGGCATGCAGGAGGCAGCTGATTGATGCTTCTCTCTCATCAATGTTTCTTACTCTCTATCGCTCTCGCTTCCTCTCTATAAAAACATCAATAAAATATATTTTAAAAAAATAAAAATAAAAATCATCATTCTCCCCTTTAAAAAAAATTACACTTGGAAACAATATAAAGAAGTACCATTAATGAATATAAATGTTTTCATAATATCAGTTATCCAGTGTATAACAGGAGTTTTAAGATATCCACTTTCAAAAGTGGAATGTTCAGGAACCCTACCCTTTCTTTGAAAATGGTAAAAATGTCATTGTCATGCTATTATTAAACATTAAATCATTTACAGTGTATTAATAATATGTTTCTGATTTTTACAGCAGTCATATGGTAGAGAGACTCTGTACAAGGACGGATGGTTGTCAATGCAGAGAAAACTTCAGCCAGATTCCAAATAATAATGAAAAGAAGGAAATTCCTGAAATAAAACAACCTAAATCCAGGTTGTGTAGGCAAATCTTCATACGTTATTTATCCTTGAATAACCAACTGAGCTCTCACATTGGACCCAAACTGTACCTGTGTCCAGAATATGAAGAAAAACATTATAAATATAAGGAAGCTGAGAAATCTTTCAATTCCAATACTCTTAGAAATCAGGAAAAAATACACTCTGGTGAGAAACCTTATGAATGTGGGAACATCTTCAGTTGGCTCAGCTCTCTTGGAAAACATAAAAGAAGTCATGCCAGAAAGAAGCCTCATGAATGTAAGGAATGTGGTAAAACATTCCATCATCCCTTTTTCCTTAGAAATCATGAAAGAACTCATACTCGGGTAAAACGCTTTAAATGTAAGCATTGTGGTAAAGGTTTCTATTATCAATATTCTCTTCGATATCATGAAAGAACTCATACTGGGGAAACACCCTATGAATGTAAGCTATGTGGTAAAGTTTTCTCTTATTCAACTTCCCTCCAGTATCATAAAAGAACTCATACCGAGGAAAAACCCTATGAATGTAAACAATGTGGGAAAGCCTTCAGTTCCGGGAGCTCTCTCGCAAATCATAAAATAAGTCATGATGAAAAGAAGCCTCATGAATGTAAGAAATGTGGTAAAACATTCCATCATTACTATTCCCTTAGAAATCATGAAAATACTCATTCTGGGAAGAAACCCTATGAATGTAAGGTTTGTGGTAAAGTTTTCTCCCTTTCAGCTTCCCTTCAATATCATGAAAGAATGCATACTGGGGAAAAACCCTATCAATGTAAAGTATGTGGGAAAGCCTTCATTTTTCCCAGCTCTCTTGGAAATCATCAAAGAAGACATGACGGAAAGAAGAATCATGAATGTAAGGAATGCGGCAAAACATTCTATTATCAATATTACCTCCAACTTCATGAAGGTATTCATACTGGTGTAAAACGTTATGAATGTAAGCCTTGTGGTAAAACTTTCTGTTATCCATCTTCCCTGCGAAGTCATGAAAGGACTCATCATAAGGAAGAACCCTATAAATGTAAGCATTGTAGCAAAGCTTTCTCTTATCCGTCTTCCCTCCAATGTCATGAAAGAACTCATACTGGGGAAAGACCCTATGAATGTAAGCATTGTGGCAAAGCTTTCTCTTATCCCACTTACCTCCAATATCATCAAAGAATTCATACTGGGGAAAAACCTTATAAATGTAAGCATTGTGGCAAAACTTTCTGCTTTCTATCTGCCCTCCAAAATCATGAAAGAACTCATACTGGTGTAAAACGCTATGAATGTAAGCAGTGTGGTAAAGGTTACTATTATCAATCTTCTCTCCAAAGTCATGTTAGAACTCATACTTGTAGACCATCCTATGAATGTAAGCTATGTGGTAAAGTTTTGTCTTCTTCAACTTCCCTTCAATATCATGAAAGAATCCATTCTGGGGAAAAACCCTATCAATGTAAGGAATGTGGGAAAGCCTACATTTCTCCCAGCTCTCTTGGAAATCATAAAAGAAGCCATGATGGAAAGAAGCCTCATGAATGTAAAGAATGTGGTAAAACCTTTATTTATCCCTCTTTCCTTAAAAGACATGAAATAACTCATACTGGTGTAAAACCCTATAAATGTAAGCATTGTGGTAAAGCTGTATCTTCTTCAGCTTACCTGCGATATCATGAAAGAACACACACTGGATAAAAGCCCACGTATGTTAGCAATGTGGTAAGGCTTTTAGTCTTTCTGCATCTCTTAGAGATCATGAAAAAATACATGCTGGAGAAAAAACCCTATGAATGAAAGCAATCCAGTAAAACTTTCTATTATCCACTTTCCCTCTGATATCATGAAAGAACTCATAATAAGGAAAAACCCTATGAATGTAAGCCATGGGGGAAACCTTGTATTCATCCCAGTTCCCTTCAATATCACAAAAGCACTAATAGTGGAGAGAAATCATAATGAATGAAAGAACTCACACTGAAAATAAGCCCTATCCTGTAAAGATTGTAGGAAAGCCTTTGACCATCCTAGTTCTTTCTTTTTAATCCTCACCTGAGAATCGTTTTCCATTGAGAGTGGAAGTCAAAGAGAAAGACAGAGAACCATATTGATATGAGAGAAACAAATCAATTGGTTGCCCTCCTGCACATGCCCAGACATTTAACAACACACAGTGGAGAAAAGCTCTATGAATGGAAGGAATGTGGTAAAGCCTTCAGTTTCTCCAAGTCTCTTAGCATGGAAGGAAGAACACGTACTGAGGAAAAACGTTATGAATGTAAGCAATGTGGGAAAACCTTCCGTTGTGTCACATCTTGGAAGACATAAGAGAAGACATGATGGAAATAAGCCTCAAGTACAGGCTTGGCCCGGAGTGTGGGGTTGCAGGAAGAGACTCCAGAGAGGCTCTGACATATTAGCTTCAGCCTTATTTTCCTAGTTCCCTGCCCGGGTTGGCTGCTGGGCACAGCCCTCATGCGTGCTGCATCTGCTCCAGGAACTGTGTGCTGCGCATGGCCTCACAGTCGAGGCTCCATGCGTGGCCTGGACTCGCCCAGCTGCTGGGCTTCACTCTGTCCCTCTGGCGAATGCATGGCGAATCTCCCCTCCTTGTGGGTCTCCTGCCTTGGCTCTGAAGGGCTGTGGGACCTGGAGCAGCTGCAATAGGCAGACCATCCGCCAGACCTGTGGCTATCATCACCTTGAAACTGACTTTGGAGAAAAATAGTGGGTGTTTTGATTTTAGGCAGGCATGGTAGGAATGCAAGGATTTTTGAGCCTCCTTTCTTAGATGGATCCAAAGCAGATTACTAGAATACAGTGCCCTATTTTACAGTGTACGGAGTGATAGCATAATTGCAAAAAATCTTTTCTTAAGTATATTGTAACATTTTTAGGGAAAGCATAGTTGACCTAGAATTAACTGAGTAACTCTATTGGCACAAAATAAAATGAGTGACCTTTTAAAAATACACAGCTGAGAGACATTAAAGCACTAACTTGGATTAATAAATTAATAGAAATATTACTATGATCTTATCACTGAATGAAGTCCATCAGCCAAGACATGAAACACAGTTCCAGCCCTACAAGAGCTTAGATGGTAAATAGTTACCATTGTTTAATTAATCAAGTAAATAATAACCAAACAATTTCTAATTAAGACTAAAAAGTTCTCTTTTTTCACCTGGAAGTAGATTTGAGACTCATTTAAAGACAATTTGGCCCTGGCAAGGTTGGCTCAGTGGATAGTGCATTGGGCTCAGTAATGAAGCATCCCTGGTTCAATTCCAGTCAAGGGCACATGCCCAGATTGCTAGGTAAATGCCTGGTAGGGGGTGAACAGGACACAGCCATATTGATAATCTCTCATCATTGATGTTTCTATCTCTCCCTCTGCCTTACTCTCTGAAATCAATAAAAATAATAGTTTTAAAAATATATATATTTTGTAGAGAATGAAATAAACTTTAAGGATAATTTGATTGATTCTAAATTTTTAAGGGACTCATGAATTGACAATGTATGGAAATAAAATGAATAAATAAAATGTGAGACTTAGACAAATTCATGCAGCAAATGGTTCTCTCTCTCTCTCTCTCTCTCTTTGATAAATGCTTTTGCGTTGATGCTTAGCTAACCCAGAGTTCTGGCAACTGTAGCTTTTAGCTTTACAATGAGTACAATTCCAGAAATCTGTCCCACCAACAATTACATAGGTAAATCACTGTCAATATGAGCAAGTTGCCTGCTTTGGTATTTTGTGGATATGAATCCTACCATTCAGTAAAAAGCTAAAAATTATCTGCCATGTCATAGGCCCAGACACTTCAGTGACTTCAAAAATGTGAAGGCTTTTTAGTTGAAGTTAATTGTTCGCTAGCAGAGAAGAACTCTGGCTAATTTAAGGAAGGCAGGCGTTTCTCTAAAATGGGGTAGATGAACACAGGCCTCTGAAAGGACCCAACAGGGTCAGCTCAAGTCCTATCAGGGTCTGCCCTGGAATGGATCTGCGTTAACCAGATCCCTTGGCTTTACTGCTCACAGAGTTGAATTGCCCAGATCCCTTTATGGGTGCTATTTGTATGGATTTATTATATTTCCTGTGTGATCCATTGGACAGTGTCTTTGATTTAGACATGTATTTATTGAACATCAAGTGAGAGACAGCAAAAAGACATTATTGAAGGCCCAACCCCTTCAATGTAGTCTTGCAAAATTATACAAGGCAGCATGAGAAATATTGCAACTAAATATTAAGGGTAGTATGTTCCATAAGAGTTTTCAAGTAGAAAGAAGACACTTGTCTAGACAAGTTTTACAGAGAATAAGTTTTGTCTGGCTGGGTTCTTGAAAGATGAGTTGGATTCTGAAAAGATAAAAGAGTGTATTTGTGGGGCACTCCAGAAAGCTTATTTAGGCTAGAGGAGGAGCATGAAAGCAAAGTCATGGAAGATAAATAAACAGCCATTCCACTTCCCTCAACGCAGTGCACTCTACTACCTTACTTAGTAGGTCTTTGAATGTGGAATTGTACTTTGGAAATGAAGTTATATTAGCTCTGAGTTTCTTTTCAATAGTTTTTTCATCGGTTAATCTTGAAAGATCTGCTTCTTGCTCATGTTCTAAAAACCGCCTGAGGTGCTCAAATTCAGAGAATAATTCCAGCCTTTGGTTTTCCCCTTCTAAGTTCTAAGAGTTTTTTGCTTTGAATGCTTATTAATTTCTGAACATCTGCCACCTGCTTCTTCAGGGGCTCAATGTAACTGCTGAGCCTTTGCCTGTGATGACAGGCAGCTCCCTCCATGGGCCTCTCCTGGTGGTCAGTGGGCAGATTGCACAGGTGACACAACAGCTCTACGTCCTCCTCTCAGAATAGGGTCAGGACCATGTGCCTGTGCAACAAGCACCTCTTTCTGCCTCCTCTTGCCCCTGGTGGTCTGGAGGAGCTTGGTGATGTCCACCATCCTTCCCAGCTGGGCATTGCTCCTCACATACCTCTCTTTGCATGGGTGACAGCACACAGGGCAAGGGAACCTGTCCTGTAGATCAGTCCAGGACTGCTGGATGCAGGAGTGAGACATTGTGCACACCTTCGATGGTGACAGGCTTTCTCAGGTCATCCAGTTAGATGGGATAGTTGATTTCTGCCAGGAGTCCTGCCAGAGCTGCTTCAACTTCCAGTGGGCCCTGAAGGCATGGACTGAGATGGGTTTCTTCAGGAAGCTGGGCTCTGCGGTGAGAAGTGGATGCCCCAGAAATCTCAGTCCTCACTTAGATGGTGGCCTATGAGTCCTGCAAGTCCCCTGACCTTTGAATTCCAGCTGCCAAGAGAAGGCCTTCCCCCAACCTGCAGCCAGTCAGAGCACAGCTGGACAACTGCTCCTCCCAATTTGGGAGCTGAAAGAAAATGAAGCCAGCTAAGCAGCTTTTTCGTCAGAGGAACAGTCATTACCTGAAATCATTAGTTGCTGTGTGTGAGAAAATATTTCTTCCTTCAATCCCTGAGTTTATTTCAAGTGGTTCCAGTCAAACAGATACCTCTCTCCTAAACCCAATCTTTCATTCTCATGTTTTTATTATTAAGCCCATCTACTTCCACTCACTGAGCACCACCATCCATGAATCCCATCAACTTTCCATTCCCCACCTGGGGCTATGGAAAGTGCACAGGCTCTGGGACAGAGGGATGGGCCACACCCAAATTACAATGCAGCCTTCGTCACCTATCCATATATTTTGAAAGAATTTATTTTATCTCCTTAAGGGGTGCAGAGCATGGCACCTCAAAACATTGAAACACAAAAGTTGGACTGGAAAGCATGGTGTCCTTCTGGGCAGGATGATTCCCAGGTCCTTGTCCAAGTGGAGTTGAAGGAAACATGGACAACAGATGGTATAATAAAGGATGGAAATTTATTGAGAAAGAAGCACAGACTCCCATGTGGGGAGAGTGAGAGAATCCCACTATGTCCCTTTTTTCTATGGTTTATAAAGGGTGTACTTCTTTGGGCCTTGATATCCCCTCTGATTGGTCACAGTCCCCTCTGACTTGTCACTATAGCCACTCCAGAGCTCAAACCACAGGTGAGGTACCTGAGGTTCTCTTCTTTTCCCTTATTGTTTTCCTAGTTCCTTTTGGGCTTTCCTCTTCCCTCTCTGGAGAAGGGGCTTCCCTTTATTTTTAAATGTATTTCTTCTGCAGCTCTGGGCTCCCTTATTCTATGGAAATGTGTACCTTCTGGCAGCTCCCTTATTCTGTGAATGTATGGTCTTTGCAGCCGTGTGCTTTCCCTATGAACCCCTTCATTTTTTAAAATTTCCTAAACCTGCCTATTTTGCCCCCAAACGCTCCTTTCACCATCTTGGATGTGGCTTATTTTGAGTTGAAGGCAATCAAAACCCAATAGACTCAGGAAAAGCCCTTAGTTCTTTCTGCACTGCCCCCCACCCTAAGAAAGTATAATATTCCCCATTTGTGAGATAATCAGCAATTATAAAGGAAATTTACACTAGAAAAGGGGCCTTTGTACCTGGAAGAGAACTATTGTCAGAGTCTAGAGACCCAATTCACAAATTTGTGCACCAGTGGGTCCCTTGGGGTGTTCTGTGAGGATCAACCCCCAAGCTCAAAGCCCCAGCATGCGCCCACAGCCTCTCCTGGCTCCCTCAGCACCTGGGAGCCAGGTACCAGCCTCAACCCCCGTGGCCAACGCTGGTCTCCATCTACGAGGCGATCAGGCACCTGCTCACACATGCTTTAGCATGGCGCCGCCCGCTCACCTACTCCTCCATGCCGCCATGGTCCTGCTCTCTTCAGAGCCCATCAGGGCAGGAAGTGCCTCCACTGCCACCCACTGCCAGTGCCGCCTCACTGATGCCTACCATGTTCCGTGCAGCCTCCTTGTGGTCAGTGCATGTCATAGCGAATGGTCAGACTCCCGGTCGGACTCCTTCAGAGGGAAAATTTGCATATTTAGCTCTTTTTATATAGCAGGCCCATGCTCTATCTACTGATCCAAACCAGCAAGAGCTTTCTTTTACTTTTTTAAAATTTTTTTAATATATATTTTATTGATTTTTTACAGAGAGGAAGGAAGAGAGACAGAGAGCTAGAAGCATCGATGAGCAGTCAAGGGCATGTACCTTGGTTGCGAGCACATTCTCAGTGGCGGCTGTGCAGGAGGCAGCTGATAGATGTTTCTCTCTCATCGATGTTTCTAACTCTCTATCCCTCTCCCTTCTACATGATAAAGAAATCAATAAAATATTTAAAAAAGAACCGCAGGCCAACACTCTATCCACCAAGCTAAACCGGTTAGGGCTTCTTTTACTTTTTTTATATATATATATAATTAATTTGAGAGAGAGACAGAGCAACATCAATCATTCTATTTATTTCTACATTTGTTGGTTGATTTTTGTGTGACCTGGGATTTAACCTGCTATCGGCACATTGAGATGATGCTCTAACCATCTTTGCTTCCCAGCCAGGTTGAGAAACAACATAGTGATCCACTACATGACATTCTGGAAAAGGAAAAGGTTTGGTCTGGCTGGTGTGGCTCAATGGTCGAGTGTTGACCTATGAACCAGGAGGCCATGGTTCAATTTTCGGTCAGGTCTAACACCCCTGCCGGCCTGGTCACCTCACATGGCCTGCTCTTTGGGCATTTGGTCGTCCCTCAGTAAACCCCCTGCCGGCCTGGTCTCCCCAGGCAACCTGCTGTTCTGGTTGTTACGTGTGAGGGGGTCCCAGACAATTTGCGTATTTCTCTATTATTAGTATAGATAACTTTTTCACCTAAGAGACTTGCCTATTAACTGGGCCACCTTTGCTTAACAAACATTGCTTCCTCTCACCTTCAAGTGAATTGCCTCCCATAACCCCAGAAGCTCCAGGCCCCTACCTTGCTCACCTCCAGATGGCATAGAAGTCTCACTTCTCTGACTGCCAGTTAAGTCTCAAATCTTTGTGAAATTTCTGCATGTAGAAAATCCTAATGAAAATTTTTTTGTTTCTTGATAACCCGTGTTAGGCAGTTAGGCATGAGGGGTGCAAGGAAGCAGGGCCAGTACAGAAGGTCACCAGGGTGGAAAAGCCCCAGATGCCAAGCAAGGAACAATCCATTGTAAGGTGGGACCCTTCTCCCAGGATGACTTCCTCATCCTGCATATCCACACAGTTTGGACCCCTTGACCTTTCCTCCCTGTAGACAACCTCTATTCCTCAGTATTATTTCAGTTCCAGGCCCAGAAAAGCAATAAAATCAGCCTGAGGACCAGCTGCATTGAATAATGAGCCCTTGTCCTAGTGCCTGCCACTCACTCACTGG